TTTATTTTTTTAATTTTTTTTGAGTTGGAGTCTCACTCTGTCGCCCAGACTGGAGTGCAGTGGCCACTCCTGGCCACCGCAGCCTCGCCCTGCTGGGCTCCGGCGATCCTTCCGCCTCAGCCTTACAAGTAGCCAGAACCACAGGCGCGCACTACCACGCCCGGCTCGTTTTTTGATTTATTGTAGAGATGAGGCCTCGCCAAGTTGCCCAGGTGGGTCTCAAACCCGCGGGCTCAAGCAATTCACTCACCCCGGCCTCCCAAAGCAAGGGATTACAGGTGAGCCACTGAACCCGGCCTAACTTTTTTATTTATTGTAGAGATGAGGTTTCACCAAGTTACCCAGGCTGGTCTGGAACCCGTGGGCTCCGGCAATCCTCTCGCCTCGGCCTCCCAAAGTGCTGGGATTCCTCATTCTTTTAAGGGAGGAGATGGACTCAGGGAAGTGTCTGGTGACTCAGAAAAGGAAAATGCTTCCTTGGGAAGCAGAGAGGTCAAAGGAGGGATCACGATGGGTGGTGAAGCGGGAAGACGGTCAGTCTCAGAAGAGCCGACCAATCAAGATCATCGCCAGAACGTCATGGCTCTCTGAGCCTGAGAATCCCCAGCTCACAAATGGGCTTGACTGTATTTCCCTGTCATCCCAGCACTTTGGGAGGCTGAGGAGAGAGCCTACGGGTTCGAGACCAGCCCGGGCTACTTGGTGAGCCCTCGCCTCTGCAATGCATTAAAAAGTTAGCCAGGCGTGGTGGTGTGCACCTATGGTTCCAGCTACTTGGAAGGCTGAAGCGGGAGGATCGCCAGAACCCAGCGGGTGGAGGCTGTGGTGGCCACGAGTGTGCCATGGCACTACAGCCTGGGCGGCAGAGCGAGACTCCAACGCAAAAAAAAAAAGTTTCTCTTAGAGACAGAGTCTCACACTGTCGCCCCAGCTGGTCTCGAATTCCTGGACAGAAGGGATCCTCCCACCTCGGCCTCCCAGCGTTGGAACTACAGGTATGAGTCACTGTGCCCTGCCCGCTTAGCCACCCAAATTTAGAAACGAAAACTGAGACTCAGAGACATCAGGTAACTTGCCCAAGGTCACAGGCTGCTGAGCGGAAAGGCAGCAACCCGAGGCCGGCCGGCTCCAGAGAACACTGCCCTCCCGGTGGCGCCAACACCGGCTGCAGAAGGCGCCAGGGGCAGGCGGGCGGGCG